CACTGGTCCTATAGGGCTCATCCGTCCTGGATTCCCTGTATTTTCAGTTCCTATCTGTACCAGTGTACCTCCTCTGGTCTAGCCAGTCTTGCAATTGTGATTTTTAACGAGCACCCTACGTGGTGTGGATGATGGAGGTTCAAAGTGGATGTCCACAGGGATTCTGAAATGTGCTCTAGGGCAAAGGGAGATGATGAAGTGAAAGAACGGAATAGAAAATTTCAAAGTGTGGGTAAAGAGGGCAAAGTATTACGGTAAAAAGCAAACACCGGGCGTTAGAAAGCCAAGAGGGAAGAGTACAATCAACGTGTCTCAAACGCAATTAAAACAAGAAATCATTCAAGTCTCACATTGCAATATGGGAGGGTTCAGTGGGCAAGCCCACAGGTGACTCTCTCTTGTAGTGTTTGTGAGTCAAAATTGATGCAATGACAATGGGTTTGTCTTTTGGTTTTATGGGCAAACTAGTAGATGATGCAGGAAACACCAAAAGGAGATGGAAGAAATACAGTCACTGGACATTCAACCATTGAAGCTGGTGCCATATAACCAAGAATCAATGGTGTGAAAGGAAGAGTCCAAGGTACACCGAATACATTGGAAAACAAACAGACAAGCAAGCAGGGCTTCAGGAATGAACAGAATACCAATTAGAATATTTCAACAACCAATGCAGCTCTGCATGTGCCAAGGAATTTGAAAGACAGTGACCTGTCAAAGGGGCCATGGGCATTCCAAAGAAAGGTAACGCAACAAAATCCATTTCTGAACCGTATTATTCATATCACATGCAAGTGCATCATTCAAAAATAGCCGCACTAGTACATTGACAGGGTGTTGCCAGAAATTCAAGTTAATAAGCACTATCACAATAAATGCAGAAAAGATTGAATTTATCAAGGATTTCATTTTACTTGAGTCGGCTATCAATGCCAATGGAATGAGCAATGAGGAAATCAAACAATGCACTGCACTGGACAGCTTACACTCTGCCACGGAGTCAGTGCTGACTCATAGCCATCCTCTATAGGTTCCCAAGATGGTAATTGTTTCTGAGAACAGAAATCCCCATCTTTCTCCCAAGGCACTGCTGGTAGTTTTGAACTACAGACCACGCAGATCACAGTCCAATGCATGGCTACTATACCACCAGGGTCCCTCTGCTGCAAATGGTCTTTTTAAAGTGTTAAAAAGCAAAGAGGCAACTATAAAGCCTGAGATGCACCTGACACCAGCCAAGCCCTCTTCAATGCATTCGAAAGCTATACAATAAATAAGGAAAACTGCAGAAGAATGTATGCTTTTGTATCATGATGTTGGCAAAGAATCTTAAATGGGCCATGGGCAACCAGAAGAATGAAAAAAAATCCACCTTGGAAGAAATACCACCAGAATGCTCCTTCGGAGGAAAGATGTTGTTATTTTTGTCTCACGTATTTGGAACATGTTATCAGGAGAAACCCCTGTCTGGAGAAAGATATTGTGGGAAGGCATGGAGTCATATCTGGCCTCCTTCAGCTTTAATAGGGAGAAGGAGAAACCAGCTTCACACCAGGCCAAAGCTGATTGCCACAAAACAGAGGTCAGGCATACCTCTACCCTCTACTTTTACCTCATTCAGAGGCCAACCATATTTTCCACAGCACTCAACTTCTCTGGTTTGGTTCAATCATGAGTTCCAATGACCAGGTGGAACTCACAGACAATTCTCATGATTATGGGAGTCTATTAGGGAAGATAAAGGATTGTCATAAGTCGGAATCATAAAGCATTAATGATATGGTCTTTGTTTCACAGCAGTGACTCTTCTTAGCCAACAGCAGAAGTCCCCAGCCTCTCAGGCACTTGGTCCCTTGGCCTCTGCTTTCATGGGCCAGGAAGCCAGCCTGCTGCTCTGCCTCACTGCCTTGTCGCTTGGGTGCTCCTTTTCTGCGTGCCTCAGTCTCCAAAGTTCAACCTCTGCTAGTTTAGTTGGGGATCTCAAGGGACCTCCACTGTTGGCACCTCTTTTTTGGCAGGCATGGGAGTTGCTCTATTCCTGCTTCTTAGATGCCTGTCGTATACCCAGAGAAATGGTAAGATGGACCAATCTTTGAATTGCATTCTTCTGCAGCTTATTTGTTTGAGTGAGATTTACAAAGTAACCGGATGAGAAGTATAACATGTATGGATAGAAGAACCATAGCAAGTAATTTCACTGGACCATAGACATCGTGTTAGATCGAGGACCACTGAGACCTGCCGCCAGGCGGGTTGACGCAGCGACTGCAACAATAGGTTCAAGCATAACTGTGTTCCTCTCTGCTGAGCACAGAGTCACCACATGTAGAAACGGGTCCAAAGGCAAAGCATCTAACAAGAACACATTACATAAACACATAAATTCTCATTTTTGCTTGTAGTAAAAGCCTAAAGTAAGAAAACATAGGGTGGAAAATTGAGAACTTCATATATGAGTAGGTGTCAGAAAACCTAATAAATAACATGTTATCATGGTATTTTCTATTAGTCAAACAAGAATTGACCCACACATCCTCCTCCAGCATCATGTTGATGCCAAGAAAGATAAACATTCATTCATTTATCCAGTACCTCAAATTTGCAAAAGGCATAATAGTGGCTATCAGGTATTCAACTATTAATAAGACCTATGTTATTACCTGTCCTCAGGTCGGCCATAGTTAAATATAAGTATATTCTTAACCAGAATCATCAAATGTAGCTGAAGGTAGTATAAGTAGTTCCCAGAGGAATTTCTATAATGTCTCACTAAGTATGTTTTTTGAAATATTTGCTAATAATTATTAGCATCTCTGTGGCCTGACATGGTCCTCTGGTTATTGTTGGAAGGGGAGAATTTTTGGTGTGTCGCATTACCATTTCTGTTTTCCTCGCCTACTTTGTAAGCTTTGAGAGGCAGGAAGTGGGTCCATGATGTTTTCTTTGCGCTCAGCCGACAGACGCAGGTGCATTTCAAAGAGTGCTCCCCACTGTCCATCCGAGCACACCCACCTCATGTACAAGTCCATAATGTGTGGGGCTCTGACGTGGCTGTGGTTTGCCCTTGCTCTCTAGGCCTTCTACAACTATCGTCTCCTGGAGTTACTTCAGATGCTGGTGACTGGAGGGATAAGTGCTCAGCTGGAGCAGCATCTGGATAAGGAGAGGCACTGTGAGATCAGCGACAGCTTCACGGCAGCCTTTTCTCTGAGAGCGCGGTGTAAGCTGGGCCTTCTCTCCTTGAAGAGCACCATCTTATCCAACATTAAAGTGAGTCTACTCTTGTGAGACTGGAAATGCCCATTCCATCGCCTCTCTGGGTTTTCTGATAATGGTCTAGGCCAATGGATCTCAACCTGTGGGTCGCGACCCCTTTGGGGGCCTTTCACAGAGGTCGACCAATTCATAAGAGTAGCAGAATGACAGTTTTGAAGTAGCAACAAAAGTACTTTTACGATTGGGGGTCACCACCACATGAGGAACTGTACTAAGGGGTCGGGTCCTGAGGAAGGTTGAGAACCACAGCTCGAGGCTGTTGGGCCCTTAGATGAGCTCTAACACAGAAAGAATAACAATACAAATAAAAACAAAAACAATAATACTTTATGCTATAAAGTCTTTTACAATTCACTTTAGTTTTACCTGGACTGTCTTAATCTTGACAGTAGTCCTATGAGTTAGATAATTGCTATAATTGCTGTCTCACAGACAGGGAACGTGTCTCTCAGAGGCTCCCGATAGGTTAATGGCACTATTCCTGGACAATAGCATTCCTAATGACTATAAGAGCTAATGTTTACTTAGAAGTTTACCTTTGCCTATTCTTCTTTGGGTTTTGCTGCTTTTGTTGCTGTTTTCACTTAATCCAATCATTTAAAGGATTGCAAATCCTATCAGTTATCAGAACAGGAAGTCGGGATTCTGAGCAGCAAGTACTTTCCTGACCAAAATAGTCTAAGAAAGCAGAGCAAGGATCTATATTTCAACTGCTAGAGCAACCTGATCAGGAAGATACATTCAAGTAGAAGGATCCCAGGGCTAGTCTGAGGGAAATGTTTTCATTTCCTTAACCCGAGGAAACAAGAGAACAATAGATAGTGGATGGATAAAAGGTAATTCTTTGAGTATCAGAGTAGATTCTAGGCTAGGAAGGAGCACTCTAGTTATCAGTGTGGCAGCTTTTGGTTTGGTTTTATATTGATATTCCACCCTTGGATTATTGTTGACAGAAATGCCTTTCAAAGAAAATATCTTTTGATGATTTGTAGGGCATCAGCCGAATCCCCTTCACAAGGGATAGGCTTTTCCAGGTCCATGCACCTGTTGTGTCTTAGTACCTACTGCCCCAAAGTGCAACCCCGTGTTCTGTCTATTTGAATTTCTCTCTCTCTCTCTCTCTCTCTCTCTCTCTCTCTCTCACACACACACACACACACACACACACACACACACGATATCAAAAGCTCCCTCAGTAAGTTCTAGTCCTTGAAGTTCAGTGGTTTTTGGTTTGTTAGTTAATGATACCATATGAATGCTTAGGGAACTGTTATGGAAACTTTTTGTGGGCATCAATGTTGACAGTGGATTATTCTGGAAGTATCCATGCTCCTCTCTTTTTTCTGTACATTCATATCTTGCCCTCACATTGTCCTCTCTTTCTAGACATTACAGAACTAAACAAACTACTCTCTTTTGACTTTACCAGCCCCTTCACTGCTTCTTTTGACCTGGTGGGATGTTGCCTGAGAACAAGGTCAATAGAAATGGTAGGACTGTGATCTGCTGGAGCGTAGGATAAGAAGACGACTCTTTGGAGATCATTCAATAGTCCAGCTAATCAAATTCCTGGAAACCAGAATTTTCCAACTTACTGAGAATGAATTCATGATTGCCAAAACAATAGTAGTAAGAACACCACATTCCACCCACCAGAGACTCTTAAAAGGACCAGAATGATAAAAACGATTTCTGCACTTTGAGTCTTGGAACTAATATTAAACCTAAACACCAAGCCATTTGACACTGCCACCATAACAATATTAGGAAATGGTTTTCTGATCTTCCAAACTTCCGCTACAAGGAAAAGCGAATGACACTCCAGTATATGTGTATTTACTCTTGATTAAAGCGCCCAGCTGCCATCTGGTTGTCTCTTCTCTTCTCAGCCGAGCGACCACTTTGGACAACTCTTCTGTGGCTCGTTAACTCATTTTGGAATCCTATGCCTTGGCTTATATCGCAAGATCAACGGAGAGGACTGCAGCTCTTCAGAACGCAGAAGGGGAGTATGCTCATGTGGAAACCCACTCAGGGGGCGTGAGTGAGAAGTCCCGAGCGCGGGCTCCAGAGTGACAAGGGAAGCAGGGGAAGTAAATAATGGTGCAGAAAGAAAGAAGAATAGGTACAAACTACATGAACTCTAATGATCAGGGCCCAATTAATATTGGCTATCCAAAGAGAATGGAGGTCCTTTCCAAAAGACAAATTAAATGTAGACAGATGATAAATCATGATTCTCTGGGAGCTTGCCATGCTCTTATATTTGGACACCTTCCTACAACTGATATCTATTGTTTGTATTCAATAAATGTATTTATTTTCTGTTGAATTTGTTAGGCAAATATTTACCGAATCCCTCTTTTGCAGCCTCTGTGCTTTGCACATCTAAGTCATGGCGGCAATCTGTTCAGATTTTCCATTGGAGGAAGATCATTCTGACACTCGTAGGGAAGGGAGAGTGACATGGGTGTGCAAGATGGAAGGGTGGAGAAAGCGTGCACTCTAGAGAAACCACGATACTGTGGTCTAAACTAAGATTCGCACTGTGGATTCAATAGAGGAAGAACAATTGAAAGCAGTAGTGGGGGAATAGACTGATAAAAACCTGTCCCAGGAGAGAAGGGAAGTAAGGCAATCGGATGGAAATGAAGTGGTACAGAGAGGTAGTGGCACAAGAAACATGGAATGGTGAACATGTTTTTAGAAAGTGACTCCTTACAGCTTAAGAATTTAGAAGTGGGACTGTGTCAAGAATGAGAACTTCCAGGATATGGTCAGGAATGTGGTTTGGAGATAAAGAGCATATTTCGCAGGAACTCAGAGAACTGGATCTGGATTCTCAATTTAGAAACCACAGGGACATTGCAGGCACCTGAGATGCAAGTGCCCCAAACTTCAATCAGCATGAGGAATGTGGATGATGGGGCTGTAGAGCATTAACCACAGGATGAGGAGTACGGGATGATATTTGGGGAGCCACTTGAGCAAGGCTGATTAATGTTGCTCCCTTACTACCTGGCATCTGTCCCCTCCCTCCATCCTGTGAAAAACCACACTTCCATAGAGCATAATGTTTGGGAAATAGTGTAAATTGTACTTAAGAGAGCCCTGGGGGAAATGGCAACCTTAAGAGAAAAGCAATAAAGTAAAGGGAGGATGCTGTTTCGAAAAGCATATGATTGTAGAAAACTGGGCTGAAAGAGCATGGGAGTGACAGAGGACCCGGAGAAAAAGACAGCAACGGGGGAAAGACTGTCGGGGAAGCGAAACCAAGACTGTGCTCAAATGGGAGTCTAGAAGAGAAGCGATCCTTTGGGTGGCAGTAAAGAAATGTCGGGTGAAAGTCATGAAAGGTTAGCATGCATCATGTTTGAGTTAAAATAATATTTCCTGAGAATACCCCATGTGGCTGGAATTTTGCTAAGGCATGCTGCTTCCAAGCACAATTTTTCCATGCAGGGTCCAGGTACTCTTTAAGATGCATGCCATATTATCAGGATGCGCCAATCCCTGGAGAAGGAAATTATGCTTGGTAACGTAGAGGCGCTGCAAAAAAGAGGAAGCGCCTCAGTGATATGCATTGACATGGTGACTGTGTCTGTGGAGTCAAACACGACCACGGTTGTGAGGACAGAGTATGGCTGAGCAGTGTTTTGTTTTACTGTGCAATGAAAAAGAACAACCGCAACATTTGCTTATCAGTCAGGGTTAACATCGTATTGCATCGTTTCTTGAATTACATTATATTATCATACGCAAGGGGGCTTCCAAAAGTTCATAGAAAAATTCCCTATCTTTTAACTCCATTGACTCAATTCCAACTCAGAGCAACCCTGTCAGTAAGAGTAGAACTAACACATAGGGTTTTAAAAGGTTGTGTATCTTTACAAAAGAAAAAAAGCTATATTATATATATATATATATATATGAAATAATCCAGCCAACAACCATTAAGTCCATTCCACCTCATGTTGACCCTACACAGGTTGCTATACAGGGTTTCTGATATTGTAAACGTTTACAGAGCAGACAGCCTCATCGTTGTCTCATGGGACAGCTGTTGGATTTGAACCACAGACTTTGAAGTTAGCAATCCAAAACTTCTACAGCAGCACCAAGACTCTCTCTACACAGAGATAGAGTTGTATATCGGTGTATATATATCTGTAACTATGTATAGACACACACACAAGGGGGCTTCAAAACATTTGTGGAAAGGTAGAATTAAAAAATAATGAGATTTTTCCATGAACTTTTCTTGAAGCCCTCTCATGTGTATGTTCATTTTGAAAAGCGATGACATAAATATTAGATCTAAGTCAGGATGAAAATACCTGGAGTAATATATTCTGCTTTGACAAAATTTGGCCAAGTCCTCAGTGTTTTGCCAATTAAATTCATTAGTGTGGTGGCTATTAAAAGCAAAAAACCTGGTGTCAAACGGGCTATTGATAATCAATTAGTCTGAAGCACAACCCTCCCCTTCTCTCATTAAAGAATGAGAAGGTCAGCGATAGCGGGGATGGAAGCAGGGGGGAAAGCTTGTCCCGCCCCCTCCCTAGAACCTTTCCATTTGCACTGTGCCGCTTGATGAGCCTCGTCAGTAATAAACGCAGGAGTAGTTACTATTAATCAGAAACCAAGAAATTAGCCAAACCAAACCACCTCCTCCTCTGACTAGACTAGCCAATTACTTCTTATTTTAACCAGTGCCTGTAGCCATACTGTGCCTGCCGCAGAGGTTCAGAACTAATCTTTTACTTCCCTTGCAGGTTTGTGATTACTCGACCATCCAAGGATTTTAAACTGCTGCCCTCAGATCTTGTGTTTTGTGCCATCCCCTTCAACACTTCTTATGACAAAAAGGATGCGTCGTCTCCACAACTCTATGAACCTGTCAATCTAGCACGGATGCAAAAGTCTTTGGATTTATATCATCATTCCACAACTACCTTCATGAACAAGGATTCAGAATCTAACTACTTATCTGCACATAAGCAAACAATGTTAAGTAATAAGGATAAGCGATCATATTCAGGTGAAAATGTAAGGGAAAACCCACAGAAAATAATGTAGAAGGATGTCTCTACACCTCCAATGTCAAACTAGACCCATCTATAGTCTCTGCTAGCACCTACCTTGTAACTTATAAGGCATCGCCCTGCATGAAGATATCACACAAGAAAAATAAAATGGAGCCATGCCATTTGGGTGCCAACTGCTTAATAGTTAAGTATCAAGCCCATATTTAGAGACAAAAGTCTTATTCATTTCCACTGGATCCAGCAGGATCAATTAATAAATGATAAAGGTATCTGCACAAAGGTTCATTGGTCATTCCCATTGAACAGAGAACATGTTAGTTTGAGCTTTGTTAAAGAAGTCCTTCACCTGCTGGACTCATATATTTAAGGCTTGGAAATATAAGGAATCACAGTAAAACCAAGATGGCTTAAAAGAAACAAAAGACAATAAATTAAGAACCTGTCCCCTTCCCAGAAAAAATACATTCTTTATCTTTGAACAAGCAAACAGTAAATTAATGAATCTCTTCATCTCTTTTTTCCCCTTCATGTCTTTCCTTTACTCATCTTTTTATATAGGAAATTAGAAAGACAATGGGGAGAGATGTGTGTGTATGTGTGTGTGTGTGTGTTTAGGACCAAGGCATTTATTTACCCAGTACACACAAACCCACACCCACTGGCACTGGGTTGCTTCATGGTCCTAGTGACTCATAGGTTAGAACAGGACTGCTCCAGAGGACTCCCAAGGCTGTAAATCTATTCAGAAATAGACTGCCTCATTTTTCTCAGAGAGGCTAGCGTGTTTTGACTGCCAATCTTTAGACTAGTAGTCTGTAGAAGGCTGGATTGTCTGGAGAAAGAAAATCACTCATAAATGTGTAAGAAGAAATGTTAGATCAAGAAATAGTCTTATATCAAGAAAACATCCCAGCCTAGTCCAACTCAACTCCCTAAGTTCAGTGCTAGTCCATAGTCCCTCTTAAGACTCAAGTGATGCAGGCCAATGATGCTGCAGAAAGGTGAAGCAAGATGCTTAACAGGCTCATGGGTGTGGAGTCACGTGGGTCCCAGATCTATAGAAGCATGGCAGGGAGCCACCAGCTCTCGGGGTCAGCCAGCCCACATGGGGCCACACCTAGAGGCAGGACCCAGTGTCCCAACAAGCAGAAAGGCTAAGGGGCAAAGAGAGAGGAAGAGATTGCCAGATTTTCTCTTATAAAAATGTATGTACAAATGTGCTTGACACAATGGATGGATGTATGGATTGTGATAAGAGTTGTATGAGCCCTCAATAAAATTATTAAAATAATAAAATAAAGGGGAAAAGTACCTTCTTTTAAAAAAATAAATAAATAAAAATTAAAAGGCCAGAACTCCAAGGCATTATTAGGCTGCAACCTGATTGGCAAGTTGGATTCCACCCCTATCTCTACACAGGTACCATCAAACTGACATAAAATCTAACTACCATACAACCCAAAGCCTAAACTACTGGGATCCAATGATTCTTTACCTGACACATCAAAAGAGAACAAAACTGCTGCCATTGAGTTGATGCTGCCTCCTAGTGACCCTGTAAGTCAGGATAGAACTGCCCTGTGAGTTTCTGAGACTGTAACTCTTACGAGCTTCCCAGGAAGCAACTGGTGATTTCAAATTGCTGACCTTGCAGTTAGCAGCCCAATGTGTAACCGCTTTGCCATCGGGCACGTAGTAGATATTTAATAAAGGTGAATATGAGAGCCCACAGGGAAGCTGGAGATAGGCAGATGGAAGGGTATCACCTTCCACATTCCCCCCCAGTCCAGGAACAGAGGGTAAATTTCGCTGTGCTTTATGTACTCAAATAAAACAATCTTATGCTCTAGAATTGTCATCTTTGATTAAGTTGTTTTACCTAGGTATTGCTTTATTAAGGTAGCCCACAAAAATTTAGCACTTAGAGGGAGATAAACTTTTGACTAAAAAGCTTTTTTGTGTGTTATAGCATATAGCTTTTGTAAAAAGGAAGAGATATGAAAACAGATCATGTGTTTCACATATAATATGATTTAATTTTTAGACATTAACATTTTTAATATTTCTACTCATTTGGTATTATTATCTCAATTTTACAAAGGAAGACACTGTCATACATAGAATTTTCAGACAAACAGTGGACAAGCAATTAAGTTGGAATTTTATATAAACAGCAATAAATTGTATAGTATAATTTGTCCATTATATTACTATACTATATACTATATATATATATCATATATAGCTATATGTGTTCAGAGCTTCAAAATGTCTGTGGAAAAATATATCACATACACACATATATATGACATGGGGCTTCCAAAAGTTCATGGAAAATTCTGTTATCTTTTACATATATATGATGGCAGTGAGGTTGATTTTTGGTTTAGATATACATAGATAGATACATGTATATAATGTACTAGATAGAACTGCTGTCAAATCAATGCCGACTCAGAGTGACCCTATAGACAGGGCAGCATTGCCACTTGTTCTAAGACTGCAACTTCTCGAGATTAGAAAGGCTCATCTTTCTCTGGAGCAGTTAGTGGTTTTGAACTTCTGACTTTGCAGTTAGCAACCCAACATGTAACCACTATGCCACCAGGGCTCCCTCTTGTGTGAATAGTACAGTAAAATATTGTAGAGTAGAGGAGAGTATAAACCCCAAATGTTACACAGAGCTAGGAAATAATAGAATCCACATTCAAGCTTGATTTCTTTGACTAGAGAACTCATAGACACAATCCCTCCAAATATCCAGATGCAAGAAAGGAAATTAAAAGAAAGAAAACAGTCATTCATAGGAAATCAACTCTTCTATTAGTCAATATGTTGTTATAATGAAATAAACTCCATCAGTGTGGAAAAAGAATAAATGTAAGAACAAATGATCCAAGACCAACCAGCCTCCCCCACAAGCCCTTTTTCTAGCTTACCCCTGTTGTCTTCCTCCTCCTCCTCCTCCTCCTCCTCCCTGTTCACAGATGAGCATTCTTGGCTTCTCCATAGACATTGTTGTTGTCATTAAGGGCCTTCCAAAGGACTCTGACTCCTGGTGACATCGTGTACAATGGAGCAGGCGACTGAGTGGTCCTATGCCATCCTCACCGCCTTTGCTATGTTTGAGCTTATTGTTTACATAAAGGGCAGCAATATATTTTTTCCTAAAATTCCCAATTTTCAGATCAGGTTATAGGCGCACTGGAGATTTAACTAGCTGTTTAGGAACCCTGGGTCCTACTTTCTAAAATAAAGAATGTGCTGAGCTCAATTTAGGAAGTCCCATTCCAGCTATTAATAGTTGAGAAGCAGGGTGCCTCTGAATGGAGGCACTCTCTGCAGAGAAGGGAGCAAAGCGCATGGCCTGGGAAGACACAACACGGATGGTCTATCATAAAGGGAGGAGGGAAATGATTATTATTGAGTATTATTTCCCACTTTTGGGTCCTTGGCCCATTGTATACACACAACAGACTTAATAGAAATAAAAAATACATATATTCCTAAAACATGTTTGTCTTAGTTATCTAGTACTACTATAACAGAAATACTATTAGGAAATCACTTTAATACCCAGCGATTTATTGTCTCACAAGTTAGGAGTCTAGAAGTCCAAATTCAGACTGTCTTCTCTAGGGGAAGGCTTTCTGTTTTGGAAGCTCTGAGGAAATCTTGTCTTCCACAGGCCAGCATTCCTTGGACATCATTTTTGGTAGCTCTGAGGAAATCTTCCACAGTCTTCCACTGGCCAGCATTCCTTGGACTTTATCAAGTGGTAGCAATCTTCCCCGGGGTCTAGGAGTTTTCAGTGCAGGCACTTCAGGTGAAACAGGCACACTCCACCCACTCCGGAACCTCCTTTCCTGGTGGTTGCACATCGCTCTGATTTGTGCTTGCTTCAATCTCCTTTTGCCTCTTATAAGACAATAATGTTGTAGGTCACATCCTAGGGAAATTCCCCTTACAGAGAGCCAGGGCTGTGACATGGTGAAGGATGTTGCATCCTGGCCTTAATCCTCGTACCAGTTTATTAGACGAGATGGCATTGTGAAGATCTTAACTGCGACATCACACAATTCCATAAATGTTAATATGCTGAGAGTCATGACTCGGTCAAGTTGACTTATATTTTGGGAAGATAAAATTCAATCCATGACAGCGTAGAAAGACGCAAAATCTACAAGTTCACTGCTGTGCACATATTGACCAATCTGTTTAGTATCTGATTTCCAATAAAGCAGAGAAATTTGAATGCTAAATACTCATCAATATTTGGGGGAAATACTTATCAGAAATCTGGTTGAATACATATTGAGATATATATAATTATATTCCATGCCAGACCATTTTATGGATCTTGATAAATAAATGATATTGTGAGAGTACCCCCTAACACACACCAAAAGATTCTATAACTCCAAAACAAAGTCTTTCACCCATAGTTGGTGTGATGGTTAGGGATACTGCCAACTAGACATTCCTGGGTCAAGGTAGGGGCGTGCCCCAACATGTCAACTTTGTGGCTGTCTGCTGACACCTCCTGGGTGTCATAAGCCTTTTTGTATAAGAGTGAGAGTGAGAGATGCTGGGAACTCCCATTTCTCTCTCCTCGACCCTGAGAGCTGTTGGCACCCTGCTATGTTTCCACCTACTTTGGGTCCACGTGGCTCTGCCCCCACCAGCTGGTGGTCTTCCCGGTTAACTTGTGTGTGTCCTTGGCCTCCAGCTACATGAATCTACAGAAGGTCCTGGCCTGTATCAGGCTTATGGACTTGAGTTGGACTGGGCTGAGATGCTTTCTTGATATAAGATTACCAAATAATAATAATTTAGAAATTATCAAGGGTTCGTGAGGGAGGAGGGTGGGGAGAGAGTGGGAAAAATGAGGAGTTGATACCAAGGGCTCAAGTAGAAAGAAAATGTTTTGAGAATGATGATGGCAACAAATGTACAAATGTGCTTGACTCAATGGATGGATGGATGGATTGTGATAAGAGTAGTATGAGCCACCAATAAAATGATTTTAAAAAGAAAAAAAGCTCTTTTTTTAATGAGTGTCACTGGATTTGTTTCTTTAGACAACCCAGCCTAACACATTTGGCAACATTTTAAGAGTCCTACCACCAGATCTTTGACAATGTAATAAACGCTTAATTCACAGTGGTCATTCAGTACTTAGTAACAGAGGAACTCACATAAAGCACAAGAGAAATGCAATGAACTCAACAGGTCACAGCAATATGTAGGCTAGTCCTTTGGTAGACTATAACAAAAACCCAAAACAAAAAAACCCGTTTTGATTCTCTTGAATATTAGATAAAAGCCGCAGACTTTTCCGCAGGTGGGGGGGGGGGGGGGGGAAACATGTGTGCATTTAGACCCCAAAAATTGCCACATAAATGAGAGGGAAATCGTGGAACACTCTAGAGTCTATCCCTGGACTCTCCAAACCCCTCACCCTGGCCTATGGTAGTG